TCGGCACTGCATTTAGTGTGGTAGAAGCCAGTGCCTGTCCTGAGGTGGGAGCTATTTTGTGACCTGCCTGAGTCTATTGCTGAGTAACAAGGTGTGCTGCGGGTCCTCGACCTACCTACCTCTGAGGTGGAGGGAGTCCTGCGCAGCACGATTTCGGTGATCAATCATTTGTTCACTCACAATTTCCACTCTCATCATTTCCACCAGTTCATCATAGATAGAGGGATTCTTGCTGCGCACGTCCCTCCAGAACAAAATGCTCATGTTGAGCCCGCCTTTCAGGGCTGAAAGGGCTTCTCTGTCAGTGACCTGTTCACAGTAGGTGATTTCGTCTGTAAACCTGGCGAGATAACTTTTCAGTGTCTTCCCAGGGGCCTGCCTCATATCTTGCAGGCGTTACACTGGTGCCTCTCCTTCTCTGCGTGAGAGGTATTGGTTCAAGAATGCTTTCTTCAAATTTGGCCAACTTCTAATGCTTAGGGGAGGGAGCCTGTTGTGCCACACTTCGGCGGCTCCGCCTAGTGTTAAATGGAAGGCTCTACATTTCAAGGCGGGCGAGGCTTTCCTTAGGCTCATCTGTGTCATGTACTTGGTGAAGTGCTTCTCCGGGTCCCCCTTTCCTTCATACTTGGGGATCTTAGGGGGCATGAAATTTGCTGGCATTGGGAAGATTTGGATCTCCCTTGAGAAAGGGAGGTTATCATCATCGTCGATCTCATAAGATCGACAGGGCCCATCTGACCCTTCATCATCTTGAATATTCTGGGAAGGTGGAGGTGCCCCTCCTCGACTCCCCCAATCAACTAGGTTCCTCCTGTCCCTCCTATTTCTAGGAGGAGGAGGGGCCTGTTCTTGTTCCTGATCCGGCCAAACTAATCTTCTCACTGGGCGCACCCTATTGCTAGGATCCTCCTCTATCCAGTCGAAGATGCTTACGAATCTCTGTTCTTCATATTCTTGAGGGAAGTTATCTCCCAAGTGGGGTTCTGATGGCTGGCTCCCTTGCACATAAGATGTGGCCTCGGCGCCCACTTCTCTTTCAAGAGGGCGTTCTCCGTGCTGACTGGTGTGGCCTCGGGAACGAGATACTGGGGCTTCCTGCACTAGGTAAGATCCTTGGGGCATTTAAGAGCTCGGGTGACCTCGGGCTTGCATGAGGAGTTCATGCATTGCCATATTTTGAGCTGCGATGTCTCTCATACCCGCCGCTATTTGAGCCATACCTTCAGTGAGCATGGCCGTTCTTGCACCTCGACAACGCCGGTAATGGGGTCTCTGGTGAGTGACATTGTTATGGAGCACCTCTTCTTTAGAGGTCTCTCTCATGGGGTTGTCGTCTTTATGACTATAGCTCATCCTATCTCATTTTTCAAGGGTGGTGAGAACTTGAATTATAACTCGACTTTGTTCTTTTTCAAGAACATACCCTTTTCAGGGTTAGTTGCTAGTTTTCCGGTAACTTCTCCGGTGGAGAATGCAGAACTTTCAATGGGAAGTGTTTCCCACAGACGGCGCCAATCTGTTGACCTTGAAAATTGGACCTTCCACGTTGCCAACCGATAGCTACTCCACGTATTCCTCTCTGTATACAATCAACGCACGGTCAGACGCACACGGTCGGGACCAACGGGGGTGGTGGCGGCCGTATACATTCCGACGGTCAAGTCAAGATTAGGTGGTCGAAACAGTACCCAGAGGTTGTGTCAAAAATACTAAGGGGGAGGAGAAAATATATAAACTTGCTATGGAGTGCTATGTAGTAAGAGTTTTATTACCTTTGCCTCTTGTCAAACCTTAGGTATTTATAGGTGTGACGAACTGTTGGATGTGGGACACGTATATACATCTGACGGTATGAGTCGTCCGCTCATAGGCGTCAATCAGCCGCATCTGTAGAGTGGGCGGGCAGTTTGTTTCTCCCGAGTTGAGTTGACATAAAGTTGATAAGTCACATCAACTAGCCTCATAGAGACATCAAATCAATTTAAACCTTAGGTGCAAAGATGATCTTGGCAAAAAATCTCTTTCTGAAATTGACGGCGGATCTTCTGACAGAGGTCCACTTCGCCTCAGTCTCAGGGGCGAGGGCGCTTCGGTCAGTTCAACAAGATCGCCTATGTCTCGCAGTGTGTTATCAGGTCGTTGACATTGGTAAGATCACTTCGGAAACATTTCGGATCGTGTGGTGGTGGGCATTTCGAGGCGGTTCAGATAGGGGCGTAACAATATGTAAAAAAAAAAAATTTCCTTCTTTTTTAACAACACATTTCAACATCAATCATTATTCTATAATACATTTTTCCTAAATAATGGGTGACAAACACACCCTTACATAAATTTAATCCCATGTTTGCTTTAACTAAATATCAAATTTTTAGTATTTTTTTTATAAAAGTTAATAAAATATGTACTTGAAAAGTTGATGGAAGTTTTATATTTCATAAAATGTGTAGTTAAAAATGAATTTAAAGAAATTAAATTTTACAAAATGAAGAGCAAACATGAACTAAATTGTGGTGTACATGTGGACAGGTAGTCTTAAAAAAACACAGAGAGCACATGAGAAATTTTCTCTTGCGTGCATGTAAGAATTAATTTCTTGAAATGTTTTGTGGTGTACATGTGTACAGGTAGTCTTAAAAAAACACAGAGAGCACATGAGAAATTTTCTCTTGCGTGCATGTAAGAATTAATTTCTTGAAATGTTTTGTGGTGTACATGTGTACAGGTAGTCTTAAAAAAACACAGAGAGCACATGAGAAATTTTCTCTTGCGTGCATGTAAGAATTAATTTCTTGAAATGTTTTGTGGTGTACATGTGTACAGGTAGTCTTAAAAAAACACAGAGAGCACATGAGAAATTTTCTCTTGCGTGCATGTAAGAATTAATTTCTTGAAATGTTTTGTGGAGCTAAAGAAGATTTTAACGAATTTTAAAATATCATAAATTTTAATAAATTTCATGAATATGAATAGATTTTCACATAATTTTAAAGAGATTGTTATGTGTATGCTATTTTTAAACATGAAATCTATCCAAATCTTTTTAAATCTCTTTATTAATTTTCCCTATTAATTTTACCCTTCATTTTCACCAAACATATTCGCTTATTTAACCACGAAAAACTAAAAATTAAGAAATAAAGGCATGTAAAGCGTTAATAAACTTATAATTAAGAAAAAAGATGACCCTATTCGCTCTACTTTGTCGCATGAATCAAGCTGCATATATAGCAAACGAAAAGGAAACATTTTATCAATCAATTTATACTTCAATCAGCCAACTTCAAATTTATTTCATTTGATCATCTATTTATGTATTTATATTTTAATTTGACAGTTTTGCCTATGATCAAGAAATCGCAATCTCATATAAGTCACAGAAATGTAACGTACCATTCGTCAATGTCAAATCAACAATGTTTGTTTATGTAAGGTTCCTTTTTCAATTGGGTTGTGCTTGGTGTATATAATTACGCACTTCGGTTCCACACCCATGTGAGTGTATGTACACCCTTATGTACAAGTAGATTTATCATTTTCAATTTATTGGCAAAATCAATTGATCAGACATGCATTATATTGTGGACTATGTTAGCTATAAGAGACGAGGAAGCCACTGGTTGATTTTTTTCGAAAAACTCTATTTATTTTGGCGTGGTTAACAGAAAAGCCTACAATACTTGATTTTAATAGGACTTCTTACAAACGTTTTTTCTATCTACTATTATCTAAAAATGATCAAGTTATTAATGATCGGAAGAAACCGAGAAATCACCTATTGCGTATGAAATTATAGAAGATCTCGTTGAAACAAAAAAGGTGAGTTGAATAATCAAATTATAATAAACCAAAGTGACCAATATGTAACAGACCAATGAAATGGGTGACCTGCAGGGAATATTCCTATAAGGAAAACGTAATATTCTACATAAAATAATAAATTATACCCACCTACGAATCAAGTTAATTGCATTGAAATTCTATGTACCTTTGAGACAACAATGAAAATATTGAATGCTCAGAGAGTAACAAAATATTTCGACCTTTCTCGTTCAACACGTGACTGACTCACCAACCACTCGGGCCTTGACCTTGACTAATCACCTAATTTTTCTTCACATGACAAATTTGACCCTGCCTACAACATTGAAATATGTTCAATGAATACCTCCCTTTTTTTTTTTTTTTTTTTTTTTTTTGGCATTACAAAATTCACCTACTTGGTTTTAGCGGACGATATATCTAAGAATAAAATGGCCAAAATTCAATTTTAAAAATTGTCATATTTTTCAACTAGCAATTTTTTGACACGTCAACATTGTTAACTAATGTTGTCATCCAACATTGTACAAATAGCATGGACAAAATATCTAAGAATAAAATGGCCAAAATTCAATTTGAAAATTTGTCATATTTTTCAACTAGCAATTTTTTGACACATCAACATTGTTAACTAACGTTTTCATCCAACATTTTACAAATAGCACAATTAATTATATAATTTATAAGCTACTTTATTTAAAAGTTTTAAGTATTTAAACACAATAAATGAGTTACATTGATAACTTCAAACAAAAATTCAATGAATCGATAAACAACTGCTCAATAGGAGGAGCCATTGTGAATGCTACCGAATGCCCACTTGAGGGAACTAAACAAAGAAAATGTATTTTGCACGTAAAGAGAAATTCAACTATCATTAAACCCATGTTTGATACAATATTTTTACAATTTATTTTTAATTATAAATTCTTCAAATAACAATTTTGCACATGAATTCATTATACTTTTTTACTTTTAGCACAATTTTTTTCAAGAAAAATTATTTTTCTCAATCTACATCAAACATGTCCTAAATAAAACACTAAGTAATTTGTTAATTAATTTAAGTTCTAAAATAAACAAATATATTTAAAAGTTGAGGATTATTTGGTCATTATGTATAGGCTCGAAGCACCGATGGAACGGAACCTCGTATGGAATTCGTGTGGGGGCAAATTGTTTACATCTGCTTTGCCGTCACCACTCATCTCACCAATTACCAGACTAAGAAATTAAAGTTTAAATAATATTTTTGCAGTGCCTCCATGGCTGCGTAGATTAACATATATAATTTGCTCACAGCGCACATTAAGATCTATCCATATATTACGAGGACTCACCATTCCGGTGATGCTCCGTGTACTCTGTGCACGCCACAGACCTTGGTTACTGACGACACTCTCCTTATCCTACGCCCACGGCTCGGTGGCGGCGCCATACGACCGGCTTGTTAGGAGTTCAGTGCGTCCAGTTGTCGCCGGCGGAGAACGAAGGGATCATTTGTTCAACTGTCCGACGAGTTGCACCGGCACTGCTTCGATATGGCAAGCGATTTTGCCCTCAGGGTGGAGGCAGCGGCGGCGGGCGATGATGTTGTGTCGACGCGAGCACGAGGGGTTGAAGAGTGGTGAGGGGTCATGGAACGTGGCTTGGGATGCGCGGCCAGCGCGCTGGCTACACCATCCTGAATCGGCTTGGCTCCTCTTTGGCGTCTGCCCGCTGCTCGATTTTAATTCCGATGTGAACTGCAAAGTCTCAGTACCTGCCGATAACAGCGCTGATGGCTTCAAAACAAATGCTATAATTCCTGATTCGACTAATCCTGGCTCTTCCAATTACAGAGTCACAGGTATAAATTTCAAATTATTCATTGTTAATTCTTTTTCATTTCCTGGTTGTTTAGTTGTAATTTTAGAACATACATGAAATTGAAAGATTAATGTAAAATGAAATCTATGTAGGGGTGCCAGCGGACGGGAGGTGTTTATTTAGAGCAATTGCACACATGGCATGCTTGAGAAATGAAGAGAAGGCTCCTGATGAGAATCGCCAGAGAGAGCTTGCAGATGAATTAAGAGCTCAAGTACATAATTTGCACTTACACACAGGGTTTTTGTAGATATAACTTTAGTTATTTAAGCAGTTGTTTTCATTTTTGAGGATACCTAATTTTTCCTCAATCTAATGGTAATATGCAGGTTGTTGAAGAGCTTTTAAAGAGGCGAAAAGAAGTGGAATGGCGAGTGTACTTATTTTCAATTCTTATCTGAATGAAATTCTTGAAAATTCTGATATTGTTAAGTTCTTGTAGCTAAGTATTGCTTGATAATAATTGCAGGTTTATCGAGGAAGATTTCGATGCGTATGTTACAAGAATTAAGCAGCCTTACGTATGGGGTGGAGAACCAGAATTGCTGATGGCTTCTCATGTTCTTAGGTGAGAACCTTTAACTGTTAATGCATCTGTAATATTGTTTTGCTTGATATTCTCGATCTTCATTTGACATGTTTTGGGTGGTAACATAACTTAAATTGAGCTTCGACTCTGAAAATGTCATTACAATACAAGCATATGAACTTCTGGAATGTATTTTCCTGGAGAAAAGATACTTGTTGTTAATACGAAATATTATCATGACATCGTATTTGGTTACTGATTCTTTATTAATGATGTTGATCATAGATTTACCCTAAAAAAACTAATTGTTTGTGGTCAGAGAGGAGGAATACCTTTATACTATTTTTTTCCAGAATTGATAACTTCCTTGATTTTTTTTTCTTTGATATAGTGGGATATCTTTGTACTCTTTCTTTTAACAGACCTTGTTCTGGTTATTGCATATCAGTTTCCAATTTGTTTTGATGATTGGCTTCGTATTGATTATAGAATATACTTTTGCTTGATTTCAGTTCAAATTGGAACCCTTCCAAATCGACATACCATCAAAATGCCATTTCAACACTAGAATATGAAAATTCTGGTTTTTTGGTTGCAGGACTCCAATTTCTGTCTTCATGATAGAGGGAGGCACGGATAGTTTAATAAAAATAGCAAATTATGGTGAAGAGTATAGCAAGGATGAGGAAAGTCCTATAAATGTTCTTTTTCATGGTTATGGTCACTATGACATTTTGGAGACTACCCTGGATCAAAGTCGGGAGAGAGTCAATGCATGAAAGCCCTGCATTCATAAGACAAAAGACACACTGTTTCATTGGATCTAAAATTTAGTGGGAAAACCTTGAAATACTTTCATTTCGACTTCAACAATTTGCTTACAGGCATTGGTAAAGCATTAGTCTTATTCGATTTTTGTAGATTCCATTGTAGCCGATCCAAAATTTTCCAGCAACAAAATATCCTTGTACTTATTCAACATAGGTTGAGAGGCCACCTTCATTTTGGAGTAGTGTTCTTTGGGTTTGGCAGAGTCAGAATTTTTTGTTTTTTTGTCTTTTTCGTCTTTTTTTGTTTTTTTTTTTCAATAAGGTAATTTTGTGTACTACCACTACTAGCTATGTTTGCTGATTAATCTTTGAGTTGATTCTTACATTTTTATATTTGATGAAGATTTATCATATGACACAGTCATAGTCTTGTATATGTATGCAAATTGTTGTAGAGGCTGGCATCTGTCCATTGATTGCTTTTTCTTTGAGTTGTATATAATGGTTCACACACATATAATGTGATAAGATATGATTGGATCAAATTTCTTCAACCAAATAAAAAAAGAACGTTTTTCCATTCTTTTTCTGATATTTCATTTGTATGTAAATTATTATGTACAAGTGACATTAATGGATCTATCACAAAATTTCTTGATCATGGGAACGTAGATTGGAGGAAAAATTCCCTACTATATAGCAGCTTTTACTAGATGTTATTTTCATCCACTTCAAACTGTCAAGATATGGATAAAAGTTGAAATAGATAATCTTCATTCTGGTTCTCCTAAGAGCTTTTGTAGCATAGTAATGGATAAATTGCTCATGCCGTCCCTGAAAACCACAGTTTGAGGATTCCCAGGTATTAATTGCCTTATGGATTTAATTGCCTCACAGTAACTGCCTTTGAAAGGAGCTTCCAGTCCATCAATTACCTATAGCAATGAAAGCAAAGCACAGTAAAAACGAGAATAAGGAAAATGTTTAAAGTTGAACCGAACAAGTATTTCAACATAGAGATGGCTAATAAAGCATTACCAGAAAGGAAACCTCAGATATGTCGACAGCTTTTAAGGATAGAAGATCCAAAAGTCTCTCAGGGGTGGAGACAAGAAACTCCGGTTCACAACTCCTTAAACTGTTAGGTGTCAATACAATCATATAAGAAAAACATTTCATTCCAAAAACAAGACATTTAGCTTAAATGTCTTAAACAGAAGCAACAAAATGAAAAAGATGAGTACTGAAGGTGAAAATTTCAAAATTTGATCGCTTCTGGCACATTCATCAGTGATTCCATTATATAAGAATCACTTTCCAAGACAACAATAGGTCATGAAGAAGACAGAGGTGCAAACAAGATTCTCAAAGATATGTCTAGGAATTGATCATTCTCAAATATCGAAAGATTTACATGCACAAGATTGGTTATATGTCTATCTTCCTGAATACACTCGTCTAACCAGCATGAGTATAATGATATCTACATGTTTAGTAGGAACGATAGTATTAAAGAAGAATAAGTTATTCTCGTTCATTATACTGTTTCTAGTCTTATCCGTTGTTGCACATTAAACACGAACTAAGTAGCCTACGATCCATTACCATGCATATTTCACAAATATTGGTAAAAAAATTCACCAATGTAATAATTTGCACACGACCAGTATTTGCATGACAAATCTTGTATTCTAACAATGAAAAATTTGGTTGAGATGCTAACCGGTGTATTTGTTTTTCTATAGTAGTGCCTGAATGCAGACTCAATGTGTATATTCCAATGGTCTCCAAAGGTTTCCACACTAGGCGTACCTGATTAAAAGTAGAACATTAGAAGAGCTTGTAAAAACATGATATCATAAAACGAATAAAATTGATTTTTCAGAATTATGCAGTATGTCATGGATAAACACATGCATGACTAAATTATGTCACAATCATCTAAACCTCGAAGATATACATACAAAGACTAATAAGCTCAGAAAATCAATGGTACAGAACAATGGGTATTAAGAGTGATGTCTTGGAGAGTGTAGTTTATGAACCTCAAAAGCTTTATCTAGAGATGGCACAAGGAATAAGTGGAAAGGGCTTTTAAATGATAAGCCTTCATTCTCTTTTCTCGTAATAGTGGCAGCAGCAGCCGATGCCATCCAAGCAATTTGCTCCCTCGTGGAATCAACACCACTCATCTCCAACACATCTTTTCCTTTGGAATAACAATTCCAGAACTCAACCCCCCATGCATTGGCAAAGAGAGGTCCGTCTTCAGTTTTAAGGGCTCCAACATTCTCAAGTGAGTTTTGAATTGTATTCAAGCATATCATCAAAAACTTAGACGGATAGACATGTTCTGTCCACTCATGGCTCAACTCGTTTCCATTGATCACTGGAATCATAGTTTTTCCTGGACTGACTGCAGTTTCTTGCCTGAAGTAGATACCCTGCAGAGTAATGATAAAATAACAAGTGCTCAAGTATATAATCCAAGAACCACATTGTATATAGATAACAGGACATTAGCACTTAGCAGGAACTAAACCGACCTAGAGTATGGGAGAAAAAGATATGTATAATTTTTTTACAGTACCAAACTTTGGCATCAACAAAGACGCGTCTCAAAGGTAAAAATCAAGAAAATATTGGAATCGACAAACATTTATAGTTCCTGCGTTCACCTCCACTAGAAGACATAGCAGTCACAAACCAAAACATAGAGAAAATCTGAGAATTTAAGCCTCAACAAAATATCTTATTTTCCAATGCAATTTACACGAGTAATGGAACACCAAGAGTACAACTGCAAAGAGAGTGAGATCGTCACCCTATATGCAATTTCTCTCCACAATCCAGACAATAATGAAAGGAGTACCAAAAAGAACTCTGCATATCTATCGATTCACATAGCATAAATGGTCTTTGTCACAAAAATTATCAATTTAATGGTAGACTTTCTAGAAAAATGGAACCTCTGAAACATATTTTTGATTGTTTGAACTCAGTTTGTGACAAAGGAGATAAAACTTCTCGATAGTCATTGTCACAATTAGTTGAATGATATAATAATCAATCTATTACCCTTTTCTTGTGTTGTGTTGTTGAGTATTTTTGTACCAAAATTTTTAGTCAGATAACCGAGATCAAGTTAAAAAGCCGACACTATGAGTCTTGCAGCAGAATTATCTTTGCGTGTGCATCGCCTCTATTCCTCCGAGCTCAAAGCCAGCCTTTCTCCATCTCGAATTGAAATTTAATCCCTGGAAACTAAATTTAATGTTTAATTATTTTCCTTTTTTGTTCCTTCACCACTGATTCACTGAAGTACACCCACATTAAAATTATTTACAATGTAAATCAATCAAAGCCTGACATAATCTTCAAAAAATAAAAAATAAGAACTCTGATCCTTGAATAGAAAATCCTAAAGAACCCCCATCAAAGATAAGTTAATCCCCGATATTTTTTATTGCCTAATTTTTCAAATTATTATTCAATCATCCATTTAATGATAAATATACAGCCATAGAAAGATTAAAAAAAATAATAAAAAAAATCTTGATTCCTTGATAGCAGTCTCATAAAACAGAGAAAAAGAAAAAACTACAACAATGAGAATTTAACAAAAATAAAAAATTATCAAAAAAACCCACCTGAGTGTTGCTTCGTTTGGCCTTTTTCAAGCGTTTCTTGGCTGCCAAAATAGAAACATTAATGCGTCCATAAAGTAGAGACCTTTGAGGGAGAATCTTTATTTTATCGCAACTTGGACGTTTTCTGTTCCATCTTCTCTTCACTGCATTTTCGTCATTGCTTTTCCCCATTGATGCTGTGAGGTGCTGTTGGAGAGAAGGCGGCGGCTGTAAGGAGTACTATAGAGTTGTTTACAGAATATATTGAGAGGTTTGAGAGGAAACTTGCTTTACAAGGTCTTCTGTCATCTGTCGATTCTTTATAGTTTAGTGGCTTGGGCTAGGGGCAATTGGGGTTACGCCTCATAATCAAAACCGCGTAATTATTTATTTCTTTTAATTGGAAATTTGATATAAATTCCTCTCTATAGATAAATAGACATAGAAGCTTTAGGGGTTAGCTAACGGCTGTCTACTGCCCAGTGCCCACCAAGAAAAGCTTGCAAATGGACTTTTACTGTCGCAGGAAAATACAACAGGCACAACGGAAATGAATTCATTGGTAGGGATGTGTCCAGGCGTCTATTCTTGGCTAAGATATGCTACACAGACAGGATTGTGGACAGGGTTTTTAAATAGGAGTACACATGTCAAATACTAATTGGATAGTTTGAAAAAAAAATGCACCAATTAGCTGTTGACACGCAGTCCCGGTACCTAAACTATGTCACCTAAACCTTGTTGGAATTAATTGAATGTAATTGGGTTCAAACATTAAATGTAATATTTAATGATGTGGGCCATTGCAATTAATTTGGGTGAATTGGAAAAATTTTCAATATAGACCCATATGTTGATAAGCCCATTTTAAGTGTTTTATATATAGAAAGGAATCCCATATCGAAAGTTTATAAGAAAATAGTCTTGTTTATATAGTGGGTTGTGTGAATAATATATAATTTAATAAGTTACCTACCATTTGGCTAACTTTAACTAGCCAAAAGCTAGTCACCACTAGAGTGGTGCTTCGCACCACTCACGACGCTCCCTGGACCAGTCCCGGCACGCGCACGTTACAAAGTACGCATTGGGTGCTTTAGAGGCACACTTGGCACTTGGCACGTATGCATCGTCACGAGGAGTTGGGGAGCCTTATAGTGTTCGGAAATGGACTCGTGGTTCGATGACGTGGCAGCGCAAGGCTCTGTGAGTTGGCATTCTAGGTGGCGCACGCGTGGTAGGTCGCGTCCCTTCGTCCTGCGTGGCGGTTAGATGTACGCGTGGCATCCGCATGACTATAACTGTCCAGAAATTGGTGAATAGGCATGATGAATGGACACTTCACTTTATGGATCGATCTGGGCCATCAGATCATGAAAATAGTACGATCCAATGGCTAAGACGAATCAGACCAAGTGGTGCACCAGTTCTTGAAATGTCACACACCTGTTCCATGAGACACTTCAATCTCTATAAATAGAGACCCTCAGATTTATTTTTAAAAAAAAAAAAAAACAAATTCAATTGATTTCTAAATTCTTCTCTCTCCATATTCTGCTCTAAAAATTCTTTTATATGTAATTGTGATTATTCCGTTCGAGTACGATCATTCATTGGTTCGACCGACAAGGTTGGTATTGTGCAATATCGACTTTGGAAGGAGCGTTGTATCTTGGGAGACAGACGTCCATAATCTCGTTTGCACTTCATTGGGGGGCGAAATCTATCTTAAGGAGATTTGCTTTGGCATACCTCGCTTCATCTACTGTTTTCTATTTTTCTGCTTATTTTATTTGTTCTTTTGATTGCGTTAGTCGAATTTCCGACAACAATCTTAAGACATATTATATTTTCTCATTTCTTCTACATTTCTATTATTGATTATTTTCTGTAATTGTGGTTTTACAGATAATACTAGCGCTGTGATTGGTACTGTTGAGAGCAATACTAATGCTGTGATTGCGCCAAATTCTGGTTCCAATCAATTTGTCATGCCACCGGCTTCACAACATGAGAAACCGGAAAAGTTCAATGGCACGGATTTCAAATGTTGGCAACAAAAGATGCTATTCTGTTTGACTACATTGAACTTAGTAAGATTTCTGCGTGAAGAATGTCCTGCACAAACATCGGAGAATGCTATTGATAAAAATACTCAATAGCTATTGAAGCATGGAAACATGCAGATTTCTTATATCGTAATTACATTCTCAATGGATTGGATAACACTTTATATAGTGTGTATTGTAATTACAAGAAGGCTAAAGAACTGTGGGCGTCTCTTAACAAAAAATACAAAATCGAAGATGTGGGAACGAAGAAATTCATTGTTGACAAATTTCTAGATTTCAAGATGACTGATTCAAAGACAGTTATGAGTCAGGTTCAAGAGATACACGTTCTATTTCACGATATTGAAGCTGAAGGTATGACTTTGAGTGAATCTTTCCAGATTGCTGCTATGATCGAGAAACTACCTCCACTATGGAAAGATTTCAAAAACTATCTCAAGCATAAACGCAAAGCGATGACGATGGAGGATCTAATTGTTCGACTTCGCATTGAAAAAGACAACCGGGCTGTAGAAAAGAAGAATAATGTCCGCAACATGGAAGCAAATGCTAACATGGTGGAAGACTTGGGGTCTAAGAACAAGAAAATGAAGCGTTTTGGCTCATCTATGGACAAAGAAAAAGCCAACAATGCAAAACCGTTCAAAGGCAACTGTTATATTTGCGGGAAGTCGGGACATCGGGCTAAAGACTGTCGAAGCAAAAAAAAGGATACACAGAAAAAGAAACCGCCCAAGCCAATATAACCGAAGTGGATAAAATTTCTACGGATGTTGGAGACATCAACCTATCTGCTGTTGTTTCTGAAGTTAATTTGGTATCTAATGCCAAGGATTGATGGTTGGACATAGGAGCCACGCGTCACATCTGTGCACATAAGGGTCTATTCGCTGAATATAAAACCTTGAATCATAATGAGTGTCTTTACATGGGAAATTCTACAATATCCAATATTGAAGGGATTGGAAAGGTTATTCTGAAATTCACATCGGGGAAGGAACTGACGCTTAATGAAGTTGTACATGTTCCAGATATTAGAAAGAATTTGATTTCAGGAACTATTCTTAGTAAGAAAGGATTTAAAATGGTGTTTGAATCTGATAGATTTGTACTTACTAAGGGGGGCATGTATGTTGGGAAGGGTTATTTATTTGATGGTCTATTTAAGGCCAATACTGTTGTAGTGGACAAAAAATCCACATATTTGTATCCACAAGTTATCAATAAAACTAATGCTTTTGTTTACTTGCTTGAATCTTCGGATTTATGGCATAGCAGATTAGGACATGTAAATTGTGCTTCCTTAAGAAAACTTGTAGGTTTAGGTCTTATACCTAAACTTGACTCCGAAGACAAACATAAATGTGAAATTTGTGTTGAAACAAAATTTGCTAAAAAACCTTTTAACACGATTGAAAGGAGTAGTGAACCGTTGTGTTTAATACACAACGATATTTGTGATCTAAAATTTGTTCAGATTCGAGGTGGTAAAAAATATTTTATCACGTTTATAGATGATCACGGTAGATATTGCCAAGTTTATTTATTAAGTAGCAAAGACGAAGAATTGAATGTATTTGTTACTTACAAAAACGAAGTTGAAAATCAATTTGGAAAAACAATTAAGGTACTAAGATCTGATAGAGGTGGTGAATATGATTCGTCCATGTTTGATGAATTATGTGCTAAGTTTGGTATTATTTACCAAACAACAGCTCTGTATACTCTGCAGCAAAATGGGATTGCTGAGAGGAAAAATAGAACTCTAAAAGACATGGTTAATGCTATGCTTATAAGTTCTGGATTACCACAAAACTCGTGGGAGGAAGCAGTGCTAACTATTAACTTTATTTTGAATAGAGTTCCCTATAAGAAAACTAGTTCGATACCTTATGAGTTATGGAAAGGTAGAATGCCTTCCTATAAATATTTAAAAGTGTGGGGGTGCCTAACTAAAGTAGCTATTCCTCCTCCCAAAAGGAATAAGTTAGGTCCTAAAACTATTGATTGCATTTTTATCGAATATGTAATAAATAGCAGTGCGTACAGATTTCTTGTATATAAATCTGATAGAAGTGACATTCATGTCAATACAATTTTTGAATCTCGAGATGCTGAATTCTTTGAAGATGTGTTCCCTAATAAAAGAGATATTCTTGAGAATACTTAAAAGAGAACACGAGATAATGCTATTAAAAACAATATAGAACCTGAACCAAGAAGGAGTAAAAGAGCAAAGGTCGCTAAATCTTTTGGTCCAGACTTTATTTCTTTCGTAATTGAGAAAGAGCCCCAAACATTTAAAGAAGCTGTGACTAGTCCAAAATCCGTATTGTGGAAGGAAGTTATAAATAGTGAAATTGACTCTATTATGAGTAATAATACTTGGCAATTGGTTGATCTTCCTAAGGGAACTAAACCAATAGGATGCAAATGGATCTTTAAAAGAAAGTTAAGATCTGATGGTTCAATAGACAAATACAAAGCTCGACTGGTTGCAAAAGGATATCGTCAGACAGAAGGAATTGATTTCTTTGACACATATTCTCCAGTAAAAAGAATTACTTCTATTCGGGTTTTAATTGCTATTGCAACCTTGTACAACTTACAAATACATCAAATGGATGTTAAAACTGCATTCCTGAATGGTGATTTAAACGAAGAAGTATATATGGAACAGTCAGAAGGTTTCATAGTGAAAGGACAAGAGAACAAAGTTTGCAAACTAGTTAAGTCCTTATACGGTTTGAAGCAAGCTCCTGAACAATGGCACGAAAAGTTTGACAGCGTCATGATTAGGAATGGATTCGTCATAAATGGATGTGACAAATGCGTATATTCGAAAAAATTCGAAAAGGCATATGTACTCGTCTGTTTGTATGTTAATGACATGCTTATATTAGGGACTAATATAGAAGTCATCAATAGAACAAAGAATATAATTACCAATAACTTTGACATGAAAGATATGGATAAAACAGACGTGATTCTAGGAATAAAGATATTTAGAACATCAAATGGAATAGTCTTATCTCAAACCCATTATGTTGATAAAATAATTGAGAGGTTTAAGACTTATAATATTAAAGAAACGAGTAACCCATTTCTTCCGCATATAGTTCTTCACAAGAATAGTGGAAATGGGAAACAGCAGTTAGAATATTCCCAAATTATTGGTAGTTCAATGTACCTGATGAATTGTACAAGACCTGATAAAGCTTACTCGGTAAGTAAGTTGAGTCGTTACACAAGTAACCCAAGTAATCAACATTGGGATGCATTACTTAGAGTTTTGGGCTACTTGAAACGGACCAGAGAGTATTCATTACATTATGAAAAATATCCTCCAGCAATTGAAGGATATAGTGATACCAATTGGATATCAGATACAAACGAGTCAAAGTCTACCAATGGCTATGTATTTACTCTCGGTGGTGGCGCTATATCATGGAAATCTTCTAAGTAGATCTACTATGGAATCTGAGTTTATTGCCTTAGACAAAGCAGGAGAAGAAGCAGAATGGTTAAGACATTTCATAGAAGATATTCCTATATGGCCAAAGCCTGTACCGGCTATTTGTATTCATTGTGATAACCAGGTCACAATAGCCAGGGCTGAAAATTTTGTGTATAACGGTAAGTCGAGACATGTACGTCGTAGACATAACACCGTTCGGCAGTAGCTCTCAAATGGAACAATATCAATTGATTTTGTTAAGTCAAAAGAAAACCTAGCGGATCCGTTCACTAAAGGGTTATTTAGAGAGCGTATAGACTGCGTATTGAGAGAAATGGGTTTAAAGGCTAAAACCCAATGAGTCATCTTAGTGGAAACCTAACCCGGCAACTGGAGATCCCATGGACTAGGTTCAATAGGAAAACTAATTATGAATGACTCGATAAGAAGCACTTAGGAGTTTAACTACTTCCCATTTCTATGATGCAAAAAGTGCTGACTATGAAGTGTATTAAGGATAAACTTTGCTTTTAATGATGACTATAAATGGTACAAGTAATTACAGTAGGGTACTCTTTATAGTACATCACCTATGTTAGTGCGAACTTGGTCGATTCTATGAGAATTTACTTTGGCGAATTCTCTAAAGCACTCGCAGAACCCAAGTAGTTCAGGGCCGAAATAATGAACACAATAGAGAACCAAGTTTGATATGAGAGATAATGTGTTTGGTCTATTGTCTAAGCTTGCAATAATGGCTGACAGTTCAAAACGTTGCGTTCACTGATTAGCCAAGTGAGTTCGATAGATTCTTACTAAAGAAGGTTCAAAGCGAAAGCTACCTATCTTGATGCGTTATCTTTCAGATAGTACTCTTCTTCCGTTTTCCTTGATTTGAGTCGACTTCTTCCATTCATGTGGGGGATTATTGGAATTAATTGATTGTAATTGGGTTAAAACATTAAATGTAATATTTAATTATGTGGACCATTGCAATTAATTTGGATGAATTGGAAAAGTTTCCAATATAGACTCATATGTTGATAAGCTCATTTTAAGTGTTTTATATATGGAAAGGAATCCCACATCGAAAGTTTACAAGAAAATAGTCTTATTTATATAGTGAGTTGTGTAAATAATATATAATTTAATAAGTTACCAACCACTTGGCTAACTTTAGCTAGCCAAAGGCTAGTCACCACTAGAGTGGTGCTTCGCACCACTCGCACCGCTTTCTAAATTCTTCTCTCTCCATATTTTGCTCTAAAAATTCTCTTATATGTAATTGTGGTTATTCTGTTCGAGTAGGATCATTTATTGGTTCAACCGACAAGGTTAGTATTGTGCAGTATCGACTTTGGAAGGAACGTTGTATCTTGAGAGACAGGCGTCCATAATCCCGTTTGCACTTCATTGGGGGGCGAAATCTATCTTAAGAAGATTTGCTTTGGCATACCTCACTTCATCTACTGTTTTCTATTTTTTTGCTTATTTTATTTGTTCTTTTGATTGCGTTAGTCGAATTTCCGACAACAAACCTATTTGACTAGCACAATGCATTCTTGGCTAACCCAAATTTACCTAGAAGATTTGCGCTTAATTCAGTACTCAAGTATGACAGAAACATGCACGATCTTGTTGGTTACACAGACTACCCATTCCTTGAAGACAAATCCTAGGAATCAAATTCATGTGAAAGTTGTAGTTCAATCGAGTAATACTTCACATATAAAGCAATGCAACCTGATAAATCGATTTATGTGTGCTAAAGATTATTCAGATGCCAGGACAAGAGGCAAAATGTAAAGAGAGTTGAACTAACGAGTTGCCCTTTTTTCCCTTTCTTTATGTTCCTGTCCCTTAGTGGATTCCTTGGCAGCACAATACACTATTAAAGAGAATTACAGACAAAATTTTGACCATTGTACTTCCTTGTCCAAACCAGTACTATGTCCCAAACATTGCCTAAAAATAAGGAACATTTCTTCTAAATAATCTGTTTACCTCCTGTCCTACCCATATATACAATCAAATAAACATTTCCTCCAATTTTCACATACATTTAGAAGTTTAGAACATGATTGAAAAGATGAAGAACTATGTCATGCAAACACAGAATCTTTAGCTAGTTCAGGCAGCAGGCTTGAGAGGGCTAAATCTTGATAAATTTGGAATCAGTTTTACGTTGCATAAACAATTATGGGCATTTAAAGTTCTTCCTTGCAGCATTATTCTGTCATTATTAGCATGAAAGATATAATCGCAATAATGGTTTTCCAGGAGGAAACAGATAGGAACGCATTATTGCAATATTTTACCATCAGTCTCCTTTCACAGTATAGAAAAAAAAAATTTGGGGTTTAAAAGTCAAAAGATGTATATATTAAACTGCGCACACAATTCTGAATAGAAAGATGGTACCTTCAACATCAACAATAAAAAATGGTTTATAATTGATTGACTGAAACACTTAAAGAAGCATAATACCAACAAGTAATAATGCAAATTAAGAACTAAAAATAAAAGCAATCCTCAAAATTAAAGTAAAATGAAACACTAACTCAACTTTAAGAAGAGTAATTCACTGGCTGAAATTTAGTATTTTCATGACGCAAAGTAAAGGATCAACAAGCGTATTTGTAGTGCACAACAAGATTACAAGCCATCATGACTTCCCTATCCAACAAGTCATCGAAAAAGATTAATCATTAGATGGAGGAGGTTCATCACTGGACTTCTTATCTCCCTTCCGCTCATTCCATCTTTTCCATGCCCACCGCAAAATGAAAAATCCTCCAATGGCATAAACCTGAACCACCCAAAGACAGTGAACATGAAATTAAAAGAAGAATGCTCTGAAGCAAAAGATAAAGGAAGGTAAAGTACTGGTCTTTCATCAGCTCCTAATTTGCTTAGTGCACGTTCATAGATGGTTAGAAATTCTGAAGCAACTTGAACATTCCAATTTTTTTCTCTGAAAATAGGTCTTGTCATATTTTAGTCATTTTCAGATTTGTCATCTTTGTGCAGCTATATGAAAACTAAAACTCTTCGGATAAAGTGCATTGAAGATCAATCAAGTTCATATTTAAATTAATTTCATTATCCGAACACTTACAACACTTTAGCTAAGAATATCTATGGATCAATTATGCATATTCGTGATCTTTTACACCACCATTTTTCTTCCAAAAGGAGCTTTAATCAAGTAAAAGTGATGTAGATTAGTAACATTAACACCTAAAGCCACCTGAAAACATCATTGATCATTGACACGTGAATTTTATTTCTTATATGTATCTATAACAATGTTAATGACCAGGCACTCTCGCGGAAAATGTATGAGTGCCCATAATTATGATTCAGAAGCTTTGGCATAATCTGCGTTATATTTAGGCATTAACAAAATGAATAAAAGAAGGGGGTCAAGGGGAAAAGTCGTAATAAACTGTCATCATAAAAAGGATAGCTTCAGATAAATTTTCACCTCAATATAAACATCATCTCAACAAACTTCCGTCTAAGTCTATGGTTGGTTCATGTTTATAAACACTTGACTTTCAATTACTACCCACTTATCCACCACTCATTTCTAAGTATTCATAATTTAAACAATTTATAACACTCCCAAACATGCTCTATATGGTTGCTATCCCGAAGGGCCCAGAAGGATGTAACAGAAAATTGAGTGCCTTTGAAAATTTCCATTGACTACCCTATATGAGGAGGGATTGGGTCAATTCAAACTAACACAATAAAGACTCAAGGACAATTTCAGAATGAATGATGATAATTTATTTCTTCATATTAATTGACTCCTACAAATAGAGTTGGCATCTCATTCTACTGGGGAAATATCAACCTATAAGCAAGCTTACCCATTCCTTAACAAGCGACATTTCAATCTAATTCAACAAATGGCATTTGATATGATTTCTATGACAACAGATGCTCAAAGAAATAAATCAAAGTTTACCAATTCACAATAAAATTGCGTATCCAAATAATACATCACAAAGAACTATAACCAGTCCTCATATTTCATTTAGCCATCACTTAGTCATTGTACACATTTCATTTACTGTTGCTTTCATTTAGATTGGAGACATTTGTTGCATTTTTCATTTACCGGTCAGATATATGCCCCCCTCCTTTTATGCGTTCTTTCAATTTTTATGATTTAAAAAAAAAAAATAAAAAAAAAATTAGAAAAAAGAGGTCCTCACATACTTATTGCAAGTCATGACATATAAAATACAGAGGATATGATATTCATGCCAAAGATGTCAAGTCCCAGTAGTCAACCCGCGAAGAATTCACCAGCACACAGTTTTACATATTACCTACCACGGGAAGTGCCATAATTCTCAATACTTTACATTATTGGATTGAATTTTAAATACATGGTAATATGTCATCATTCTTTGACGTATGGTGATAAAAATTTGACAAAATATGTGAATTATATATCATATGCATCATTAAACATTAGTAATCCAATTTTCATAATTTAATATTATTAATTATGGTTTATTATAGCCTCAAGATAATCAAATGATAGAAACCAATTACCACCCCGGAAAAATTGTAAAAAAAATTTTAAAAAAATAAAAATAAAAGACATTGTGTGAAGTGAAGTACAAGCAGTTGATTAATAATGTACGAGCATTGACCTTTTGTAGATCGGGTATCCAAGATTAAACCTTGGATTAAAGTTTATTGTATCCACAAATTCGAACAAAGAAGATATTGGAACTGGAGTATAATTCATCTTATCTTCGCCAAGAAAGGTACAATTAATCAGTGCACAACGTTCTATAACACTCGATACCTCGATTAAACCCAGAAATATTTCAATACCGAAGAATAGCAGTACCTGCCATAAGATAACGGGGTTAGTATTCTGTTCACCCCCTTCAGCTTCTGCTTCGATCTTCAATGGAGCCGAGCTCTGCCTCGGGAACTTCACAACAACGGGTTTACTTTCATCTTCCACCACAGTTTCACTCACAGATGCGCCGATTATACTCGGGTCGGATTCTGAAACATTATTATTAGTAGTTCCGTTCTTCTTGGGTGCAGGCGGCTTGAATAATTGAAGTATGTTTGAGACGAAAGATAAAAAGGGATTATTTTGGGTATGGCTGTCTTCTTCTTGTTGTTGTGGTGAGTTTTTGGCCAGAATTGTGTTTTCGCCGTTTAAGGATTGGGGTTCCGCCATCAGTGCGGTGTTTGCCTGGATTTTTGGGTATTGGGAAGAGACGGAAAATACAAGACATGTGCAAAACAAGAAACTTAAGTACAGAGCAGGTGGGGTTGGAACGAATTTCGAGTGGGCTATGCACAGGGAGTCTATTCGGGCCGGGCCGTCAAAAATATCTGTATTTTTATTTTAGAATATATATAATAAGCACAAAACGTGTCTGTGGATTGTCCTCTTTTATGACAATTATCCGCATCTTTTTAACGTGAAAATTACACCTACTCATAATCTTTAAATTCACAATTCAAAAATTAAATTTGAAAATTTTTATTAAAAGATTAGATTATTTAACTTCTCAATATTATAAAATTAAATTAATTTAACTTTAGCACCCATCCCCATCCCAACCCCAACCCCAACCCCAACCACAACCACAACCACCACAAAACCCAATGTCATCTTCAATTTTCGCACCCACCCCATACTCAGCACCGACGACTATCGTGCCAATAGGTGCTCAATGGTAGGTGATAAGTGTATTTTTGCACACTTATTTAGGTCACAAACATGACTTAATAATGAGTAAAATGATTGAATTGTGACTTAATCTCGTTATATTTGTGAATTGCAAGGAACACCGATGAACATGGTGAAATTCAGAAGAAAAGAGCCGAAAAAAGACTAAAATGGAGCAAAGTGATAGTTCGGGGATCAAGTTGCAAATAATTCATAGATGAGACGGGAAATGGAATGAAGATTCTAGAGTTTTAGAGGTTAATCGGATGAGGAAAGGAGTCAAGAGGTGAAATATGATCGAAATATTATCAAGTATCAACTTTTAGGTGAAAAAGCTATGCTCGTGATTTTTAATCTCTACTTGAGATCCGTTTTTGACATAGTAAACACCAGAATTTGAGGAAGTCTATTTCTATCAAAAGTGTAGATCTTTGAGTTTTCTTCACAATGCACTTTGAATTATTTCAATCGGAGATTAGGAGAGAAAGTTATGACGAAAATATTAAAAGCTGTCCAGCGGAAAGAATTGTATAACTATGCGGTCGCATAGTATAAATTCTATGCGGTCGCATAGAAGCCTCCCGAGAACTTTTTCTAAAATTTTTTTACTCTATGCGACAGCATAGAAATGTACTATGCGGTCGCATAGAACAAAATTCGGGGCCGATTCAACAGTTTCCTTATTTCGCCGAAACTCTTATGGAAATGAGATTTTTAGGGTTCTATATAAACTAAAACTCGATCAGAATGAGGGGACGTCACTTTTACAAAAAAGAGGGGGAATATACACAATTTTGGAGGATTTGGAGAGGAAGAACAAGGCAATCCACTTCAAGATTCAAGATTTCACTTCAAGAATCAATTGGGTGATATTCTTCCTTGGTTTTGATTATTTTTTCTCTTTATTTTCCATTATGTTAGGCTAGATTTTCATGTGATAGGATTTGCAATGAACCTTACATTATGAACCCTTAATCTTGAATTTTATTTATTTGACGTTAAAACATGTTTTTAATTATTGAATGGTTGGCATGGATTTTATTTTCTCTACAATTATGTGCGCAATAGTTGTATGAGATTTGTGACTTGTTTTACCCTCGAGAGATAGAAAATAAGTTAGACATTATGTTAATTGTCGTAAAGTTCGATAGGGGATAGAAATATACCGCTATGTTTTACATGATCTTTAAGTATTCATAAATATTTAATGCATTTTCATATGTTCACATCTGTCATAAAAATATAGTCGGATCGCATGTGAAAATAGGTTTAATTCTACTCGAGAGAGATTGTTAAACAAATTAGGAATATTGGTCTTCATAATTGAATCGTGTTGTCAATTTTATAAAGTTCGAATTAAAGGGGATTGATATAAGGGGATTCGGGATCCTAGTACGCATTTCATTATCATATTTTTATAAAACTTGCATTTAGTTATAATCACGCATTTAATTTAGTTAATTCAGGTTTTATATTTATAAGTAGGTTATTAAATCATAATTTATTTAGCGAAAATATTAAGAATTTTTATTGTTTCGGTTAAGGCGACGATAGGTAAAATTGAACTAATCAATCTCTGTGGGACGATATTCGGACTCATTTAATCCACTTTATTACTTGTTAACGAACCGTACACTTGCGGTAGTTTAAAATCGAAAGGAATAATTTCGCGAACAG